AGGGCCATATGTGGCTTTTAAAAAGTGAGAACGGATCCATCAATCGAAGTGGAGAGTTTACGGTGATGGTTATCCGCAGGCAACACCTCGGGTATGGAAGAGCCATTCTATCATTTTCCTGAAAATGAGGCTGCAAGATTGAAGAAAATTGAAAAATTATTGTACATCTGCATTCTCCATGAGCAGGGCTATTCAATGGTATTCCATTCAAACAGATGGCTGTACAGAAGTAGTTCAAATGCCTTGAAATCTGGTTAATTGAACCATTAATTCAGCTGAATGTGACAAATTATGTCAAGAGGGATATCAAAATGATCGGAACTTCATGCTCTCCTCGAATATAGTGCTATTTATAAATTTCAGAAGCTATGAACGAAGTTTCCAATGGGACTGGGAGGTTTACGATGGTGACGTATCTGCAAGTAACACCCCAGGTAATGTGAGACTCACTTTTCGTTTTTCGTGGAAATGAAGGCAAAAAACTTGAGAAAAACAAAAATTAATTACATGGATAGATTCTCCACGAGTAGAGCTTTCAGTTGGTCATACTTTCAACTCGATCGGATCATTTTAACAAAAGTTATGGCAATGCGACGGTTTGCGACGGATTAATCCGTCGCAAAGCGTCGGTTGACCAAGAATTAGTAGCAGTATTGTATATAAGTCGAATAAATCAAAGTAATAAGATATTAGGTCTTTTAGAGAGTGTTCAGAACAGCTTCACCTGTAATTAGCTATGCGGTGTTCTGCTTTGAGCTTTCAATTCATTCCTGACGGGAAACAACGTCGCCATATTTCCCCGCTGTCAAGTCACTCAGTTCAAAGAAGGGTTAACGACATGGTGATGTCCTTCGAAATTCTTAGCAGGGAAATTGCGTTTGACGCCGGTAGCTTCTTTACTCACGTTGTATCTACAGTAGCGGTTGGAAGTATTCGGTGAAACGTTTTTGCAATGGTATCTTTTTTTCTTACTCCATAAAATCATATAAAATTTTAGTTACTCAATCAAGGACATTTCGTGAATACTTTTGGCTATCAAGATGCAGTTTGACGGCACGTTCCTAAAATTTAACTTCAATGGAAAATGCGGGTACCATTGGCTTAGGAACAACCTTTTGTCTCAGAATAACATGTAAACACCAAAAAATAGCAACACTCGGTGGGAAGGCTTCGACTTTCGATGAAAGCGGCGCAACGGAGAGCATTGAGTCGATTAGCTTCTGAATGGCAGACACTGACTGACTCCTTCGCTGGTTGTGCAAACTCTTCTTCACTGTTTTTACAGCGTTCGTTCGAACAGCCCCTCCTATGCTCTTTCCACATGTGCTCTATAAGGCTCATATCCGATGACTGGCTTGGCCACCCCAGAAGTCTTATTCTCTTTTGCTAAAGGCCGCTTTCGTAACCTTCGGGATGTGTTTCAGATCGTTATTCTGCTGTAAGAGCCATCCTGCTGGCACGAGCTGTTGTGCCCACGGCGGGACGAAACGAAACGAAACCACCATGTTTTTGTACTACATCCTTGTCATCGTGCGGTCAGTTTTCATAATAGGGCCCATGCCGCTCGATGGGAACGCACGGTATACCACCACGTTTCCTCCACCATGCTTAGTTGTTAGCAGGATGCGCTTTGGATTAAGCCTTTCACAAGTTGAAGTCTTACTTGTCTTTACCATTGCTTTTGAACGAATTGAATCCGCTTTTGTCTGCAAAAAGATTTCCACTCTAGTCAGTCAAAGTCTAGTTGAGGTTACGCGGCTCAAACTCCACTTTGCACTTCAAATTCGTGGGCTGATGAACTACCTTCTGGCTCGTGATGTACAGACGCTGTCCGTCAGTTTCCGATATTTCCAAGACGATCAAACTCCATTGAGAGCAAGTATGTCGCGTCATAATGCGATTCGAAGAGACTTCGAAGATTGGAAATCGTTTAGGAGGGAGACCAGGATGAATGCCCTTCGAAAAGCCGTCGAAGGCAAACTGCGCCGAGATCCTGAGGGAAGCATGGGAAAATTGGTTAAGGAGCACGATGTGAACAATTCAACCGTGCAAAGACTTGTTAAGGAGGACATCAAGTTTTACCCTTAAAGATTTGCGAAAGGGCAACGCCTTAACGACAAAATGAAAGCCTGAAGACTGGAAAAATGTAAGAAGGTAAAAGCCTTGCGCGCGGTGATAGTCTTGGCGAATTCATTTTATAGACGGCGAAGTATTCAAAACTGAACTGTTCCGAAACGCGCAGGATTATCGGATGCTGCTGCCAGAAGGATCTCTGAGAGTAGTAGAGGTCGAAAATTTTCATTATCCTTAGTCGGTGGTGATGTAAGCCAGAATATGGGGTCTTGGCAAAAACAAGCTCGTTTTCATGGGAAAAGGAGTGAAAATCAATGCTGACATCTGTCGAAGCCAGATTCTGGAGGAAGCACTGATCCTTTGGGACGAGAAGAACGCGAAAAATGTTGATAAGACCTTTCAGCAGGATTGTGCAACAGCCCACAGCGCAAAAAAGACCCTGCAAGGGTGTGAGGCCATGCTTCCGGGTTTTCGGACAAAGGAGATTCGGTCTTCAAACTCCCCCGATCTCAATCCTCTGGATTTTGCTGTATGATCGATTCTGGAGCAAAAAGCCTGCTGCTTTCAAGTACAAGTCTTTAGACTCTTTAAAAAACGCTCTTGTGGAAGTGTGGGATGAAATTTGCCGGAAGTGATTGCGGGCATTCTTGAAAACTTCCGAAAGACGTTGAATGCTTGCATCAAAGTGAAAGTTGGACATTTAGAATGCCAGATGTGGTATGATGTTTACACTTTTTGTGGGAATTTTGCTGTTAGTTTTCTGGATTCCCTCACTAGAAAAAAGTTACGCCTCGAAAAGCATTTCACCGAAGACATTTGACCGCTACTGTAGAACCAGAGGAAGTGCCCCTAAAATTAAGATTCCGGTGTTAAGAAACCAGATTCACCACAGTTATTTTTCTATCAGAATTATATCTTTTCTTAATCTAATTCTCCGTGAAGCAGCTTGCAGTCCTCTCTACACTCATTTCAAAATTTGGCCAGAAAGTGCTTGAAGAAGATTTTGCGCGTTTTCAATGTGATTTCTCTTCTTGATTGCCTCACAATACCTCATCATAATTGTTTCTGTTCCTGTATTACTGTTTCACGATTATTCCTCCTACTACACCTCCGAAAGGTTGAGTAAGCTCATTTGTTACAAATTGTTGCTCACATGGGCTTATTGTCTACGTCAATAAATGAAATGAAACCAAATAAGAGACTGCATTGTATGCTCTGCATCATCACATGAACATATTATACAGCTCAAATGCAACCAACCTGTTCGATGCGCTCCTTTATAAAATGAATGATTACTGGCATATAAGTGGTAATCGGCTTGTCCGCTGCATCTAGTGTCAAGTCGACGTTGTTGGCGGCCACCTGCAACACAAGCAAATCAAACAGTTCTTCCAATTTGTGGCAAGGAGTTGTTTACACTACTTTGCATAGGACAAGGTCGGTCTTCAAGTGGCCGTCAGCATTTACGCCAGTCCAAAGCAAAAGCTCAACATTTGTTCTGAAAAAGATCTTTGCTTCATGTTGCTCTGAAACTCCGTTATCTCTGAATCAGCCTCACTCTACACAACCTGTCAAATGATAGCGGGGACGATCCCGTCAATTCACCAGTTGGTGTATCTAGGTGGAACGATGCAAGTACCGTGACATTCAGGTTCGATCCCTGAAATGACCACACAACATCCCATATAACACAAATAAATAGCGATGTAGAGGTGGCTCGGAAAGACCTCCCACCCTGATTAAAGTTCTGTGATTGCAAAAAGCCACAGTTGTTGGCATTAAAACAACGAGTGGTGACGTGTGGCAATTCTCTCGACTTCGTAAATGTTTAACCGAGCCAATTGGTCTGCTTGAAAATTGGAATCTGCTCCGCAGCCAAACGTCTTTAACCCAAATAGGAAGACTGCATAGTTTGCTCTGTTAAAATGAAGTTAAGAGACAGTTCGAAAAAACACGTCTTGCGATCTAATTCATAAAACATTAGGGAGCACCCTTCCATTCACCTCTGATTGAAGACTAAAGTTTATGATTACAAGGGGGGATGACTCATTCCACCGGGTTCAAACATGTTGTCTACAAGACTTTGTAGATTTAACACCAATTAGCAAATCCGTGCATCATCGTCGACTGGGAGGAGCATGTAGTTCTTTTCTGAGACAAAAAAGTTTGGTGGGTTGCACGGGGTCAGGTGGAGCCTTTTGCGTGACCCATTCATCCTAGAATACGTTTGGTTCTCTTTTGTTCTCGTACCTCTTACACCATAAGTCATATTTATTCTACTGTAATGTTTTGCGGTTGGTGTTGCTCGGACTTTGATATGAAAGGTTAAGCGATCACATACTCTATTTTCTTCAAGGAATGACATCGACCTGACTTATTAAATTCACCTTGACGAATCTTAAAAGTTGTGCAATTGGTAGTGAATTGAACAATAAAAACAGCAACAGTCATGTGAAAGATGGATCGGAATCCAGCGATTTATGCACAAGCGCCTCTTCTCGCGTGGGTTTCCAAGCAGAATATGAGAAATAAGATCAGCGCATTGGATTAATCCAGGGATGGGAATTTCTTACGGACAAAAACGTAGAGCAGGTATAAGAACCAGGAAAACAAATGGGTCCTACCTGCCATGCTATTCCCTTTTCAGGTATGACGATCATTTTTGAAGCGAAAGCTTGTGAATCGAATTCCGTGACTCTCATCGATAAGATGGTGATTCGCATCTAGAAGAAAACAAACCAACACGTGAAATTCACCTGGCACTTGAAAAAAGTTCTAGCTCTCCCTTTCACTGTACTCCTGGACACTCGAGAAGAACGCCCTTCTTCCACAATTTTCTCTAAATTTTTACTCCCTTACCATTATTTGGTACGGACATTTTTTTGAACTTAGGGTCTGTTATTACATGCTCCCACCACTTTCAAGTCAGTTTTGCGCTCGCATGTTCCCCCTGCATTCCACCATTTATTTCTTGAGGAGAAATTAATTAACCTCTGGTGACACCGGGGCCGAGAAACTAACCTCTGGTGGCACCGGGGCCGAGAAACTAACCTCTGGTGGCACGGGGCCGAGAAACTAACCTCTGGTGGCACCGGGGCCGAGATGTTGAAGATTAGCTCTCCCGCTCCCAAAAATCGTTTCACTCGTTCACCAAGATAGTCTGCCATTAGGTCGAATCCCTGAAGAGATGCAGGCGTCGCTTTATCGAATAGCCAGCCCCAGAATAACTGGAGACGTAGTATTAACTCAGAATAAAAGAGGACCTTCTGATTGATTCGCGATATAAATCCAGCGTTCAACCCAGTATCCGCGAATAACCCATCTGAAAAAGTCCTTCCGTTGGTCACTTATCCAGTGAAAGTGCAAAAAGAAGAGTTGTGCGAGAGGTCATCGCTTAAAACAACAAACCAATTACGAGGTTTTCTAGATGGCAACTTACTAGCAAGATTCTGTGCCCCAATGAAACCGGTCAGTGATGCTAGGAATAACCGAATACGCATTGCTCGATGGATATTTCCTGAAAGCATTTTTTTTAGGAATTGATAAAGGTGGATTTCGAAGAGAGGTGGTACTTTAATCGTAACTATCCGGTTATAGCTTTATGAGCAAAATTTGGACGCTTCAGGAACCTTTTTAGAAAAGCTGAAAGTTGCCGCAAAGCCTGCGAATCCCCTGTCCTATGCTAACAATGAGGGCTGAGCTTTCGTATGAATTATGGAGATCGGAAAATGGTCTAAGGAAAAAATCGATTGAACAGTGTAAATATGTTGATGGACGGCTATATGAAATGGTCCGCATGCGTAGCGATTGTCTATTCATCAAGTGCACGCAGAAACCGGCCACTCAGCCTCAGCTGTGAAGATCTATGTGCGTGGTGCTTGAACATTCGGATAAGAGGCGAAGAAAATAAGGAGGAGCGTGGTTCGCACCGAGATGCACTGTTGAGCATATTTTCCTTGACTCGCAGCACACTTAAGCAACAGAATAGTAAGATGCACACACAAACAGCTGCTGACACGATTATACTATTGGATACAAGAAGACAGTCATAGAAGAGATGCCTTCACTGAAATATTTTATAAGACCGCCAAGAATGAAGCAAAACGATGACGCGGGAACCATGCGATGGCAAACTTATCACGATGGCCTCGAAGCAGAGAACCAATTTGTGATCACACACAGAAATTGATACGCCGCTACTCTTTTACAGTCGATGTCATAGAATATTGATACACCAAGGCAGACATCGACAATGTGATTGAAATCGCTAGAAATATCGCTTTTAATGACAGCTAGAGCATATGGAGGATAGGACCTGGTACAGCACAAGCACCAATTTGCTATTGCAGTCCACTAGATAAATTAACGAGTATGGCGAATTTTCGGCTTTTATCGATAAACGATTCTTTTTCCCCAACCTCAACGCGATTCGTCCTGCGGAAGTCATGGTCGTTGGTCTATCGCAAGCCTGTTGCAGCCGCGAATTTATGGAACGAGTACACAAGAGGACGTGCCGACAGAAGCGAAACACATGCAGATGGATAAGCACGCTTCATCAGGAGTAGGAGGAAGGAAGGATGGAAATCTACTGGGAAACAACAATGAACCAACGCAGAATTACGACTTATAGCTGAATATGAAATCTAGATGTCAAAAGCGGAAAAGTCAGCATATACTTACGAGACATTATCGCGAAAGAAAGGATATTGTATGGCGACGATGCCATGCACAAAAACGCCACCGACAGCAGCCGACGGTGACGACTCCACTGTAGGGGGGAACTAGGAAGGCACAACAACTTCGCTATTGAAAGGGAGTGAAGGTTATGACGGAACGGTGATTGAACGTAACACGTAACACCCGTCGATTAATCTACGCTTTCGTTGACACATTTAGCAGTAGATTAATAGCGAGTACAGGAGAAATGGATGATTATAAGTATGACTGCCTAATTAGCAACGACCGCGACTGTGAAGCAGTGAGATCAGTCGTAGAGTATGAGTGGGATGTTAAAAAATAGAAGCAGTTTATCAGAAGTGACTTGCAGAACTCAAAAAAAATGGCGAAAGAATAGCGACCGACTGAAAAGGTTGATGCCCCCTCCAGAAAGCGCTCGCACACGCACAGTCGAAACTGAAAAGCAGCACAGTCGGCGTTAAACTGGATAGACGCCTTCTAATTGCGACCGAAATCGCACACTGACGACAAACTGGCTACGTTCTGGGGGCGTCGCAACAGAGGAAGAAGCTTTAGCCGCAGCAACACCAGCTCAATTCAGCTCGTCACTACTCACCAGCGCACCAAGTTCAGCAACAACACCAGTCGTACTGGTCCTTGGTATATGAATCAGCAAAGAGTCTGGTGAGATACTGCTAGGCAATGTCGACTAGAACAACCAGAACTATAATAGAAGCCGGCTCCGGCTCTTTCATCCATCTTACCACAACATCCCTGTAGTAACGACTGGAGGGTCACAGATATGGCGAAGATATAGGACAGAGATTGTTCGGAAATGTTGTATACGAAGATTTGAGTGCAGATGCCTCTACTTTAGAAGAGCTGTAGCCTTCACTCCATCCATCTGTCTGATGAAGACAGATGAATGAACTAATGGCTACAGCTTTCAAGCAATTTCTTCTTACGTAGAGGCATCTACACGCAAATCTTCCTATACAACATTTCCGAACAAACTTTGTCTTATACCTTCGCCAAATCTTTGACCCTCCAGTCGTTACTACACTTGAGGCTATTGCCCACCTCACCACAATATTTCTCACTACCCCCTTTGAAGAACTAATAAATTTTTCAGCTATTATTATAATTCATTGGTTCCGTGATCTGCATTGTATCGTTTATCACAGTCCATTGAAGATTTATCCACTGGGAATGGTCTATTTTAATGTACCGGGCGCGAAAAGAGTTGATCATGTTGCACTCCCAGTGAATCTTGGCATGACAAAGTGCACAGCTGTTTGAAATACATAGCGAGCTCTGGAATGACCTGTGCATAACACCATCGAGAAAGGCAGTGGTGCTTCAAATACCTACAAGGCTATACATGAGGTAGTCAGCCAATGTACAAGTCTGTGCTTTCATCTCCCAGGCATTTCTGTCACCCATTACGGAGGGATGAAGGCTTTTCGTTGGGTTGACAGACAGTGCGTCTCCAAATGATACAGCCACCTCTGATTTTCCCAAAAAACTCACTGTGTACGATGTTACTGAAAAACTGCCAAAGTAAAAAATGTGTCAAATTTGAATTGCATTTCGCACGTTATCACCAAATCACGGCTCGAAAACACAAACTTTTTTTTTGGTCAATTTTTCAGTAAAGGGTGCTTTTCCGACGTCTCCAAATGATACAGCCACGAACAAAATTAATTTATTTAACAACGAACACACAACAAGGAGAGAAAGTTGCAAATTCAACGATTAGTTGGTCCATCATTCCTTCTAATGACCACGGAAATGCGGTGGTCCAGACTCAAATAATTAATAATCAGCTCCTGGACAACTTGGTGCTATGCTTCGATGATCGCTTTTTTCAACTCCTTGACGCCTCGGAGTTGCTTGTTTTGGACGTGAATCTTCCGCATCATGAAGCCCCATACATTTTCCATCGAATTCAAATCGGAGCTGTTCGCCGGTCAGGACAGAAGTGCCGAGAGAACCAAGCTTGGGTGCTCCTGCTGACGTAAATTGGAGCGTTATCTTGCATATAAACAAGATTTCGGCGCCGATTCTGCCAAGAAGGGAGAAGTGCACGGCGCACAACAGATCGACAAAAGGATGAGCACATCTCGTTTGGTACAAATCATAAACGGGTAAGCCTACTCGATGAAATTGCGGCCCAAACCATTACTCTCATCCCTTGAAGTTCCGTCTAGAAAACTGAAGTTTCTCCTTTCTCAGGTCGCGCCAGTGAAATCGGTTCTCCCCTGGACCAACACAGTTGAACTTCTTTTCACAGGAAAAAAACGACCTGAAGAACCAAATTATCAAGAGAAGGGAGGTCAAATGTCAGCACATGAAGAACATCTATTCCACTCGGTCCGGCTGCACAGTCTGGCAGAAGCGACCCGATTTCCTCAATGTCTTTTTGCATGAAGGACGCCTTACGCATTTTCCGCTAGAAAATGAACTTGGACTTTCTGCTCACCTTTGAGTGCTTTTTGAGACAGAAGCGACCGGATTTCCATACAGGACTTGGTGGGGTTCGACGCTTCCCTCAAAGTACGGCGCTTGTTTCTGTCGGACAGCAGCGATGGACGTCCAGCACTTCTTCTGACTTATCATAAGCTTCAGGACTTTGATGAAATTATCCAAAACTGCGTGACATCGACCAATATCTCGCGCAATTCTGCGATTTGACAGTCTCTGCTCCTTTTCCACGAGAATTTGACCTTTCTCGAATTCCGAAGGCAATTTTCCTTTTCCCATTGTCTGAAAATGAAGAACATTACATAATCGAAGCAATTTCGTTGCGTTGAACTAAAACAGGACAAGAAGGCATGAAGTGGCTGTATCATTTGGAGACGTTGGAAAAGCACCCTTTACTGGAAAATTGACCAAAAAAATGTTTGTGTTTCCGATTTGGAATTTGGTGATAATGTGCGAATTGCAATTCAGATTTGACACATTTTTTACTTTTGCACTTTTTCAGAAACGTAGTATACTGTGAGTTTTTGGGAAAATCAGAGGAGTCGGTATAATTTGGAGACGCACTCTATCTCTGAAAAACTCTAACTCTCTAAAAGATTTGACACCCAGGTGATGCGTGTGATATGCACCACTTGCCGTAAGACCGCCTCCGCCCTTTTGCCAATATAGTATAACAGTTTTATTTGAGTGATTTTTCAGCCTCTTCGACTTCATCAAAACCAGAAAAGGCTTCTAAATTGGGGCTCTGACGAAAGCGACAAGATCCAAAAGTGAACCCAACGTGGTCATACTATCTACATCAAGACTTCATGACAACATTTGAAACATCTACGTACAGTTTCACCAGAATAAGTTATCGAACGTAAGCAGCTGCTGGAAGCGGCTGTTTTCAATACTTTTAGTGATTTGTTCCCAGTATTTTTCATGTGACACTAGTCAACCAACGATCTCCCGCAGCTTCATCAGCCACCTTAGGTTCTGAGTACATAACGATGTGGAGCGAGCGATCCATACTTGATGATTGACGTGGCCAGGGTAGAACCGGTTACTAGCGTCGCAAGCCAGTCCTTCTGTCTCGATACGGAAACTGAGGAAAAACGAAAGGCATAATCATAGAACGAATCGTGAATGGATGTAAAACCATGCACTATAAAGAACCATATATGTGAAAGTTGTGACATTGCCATCTCTCAGCTTCGTGTAATATTTTTTCTCCGACTTTTCACAGCTTATTTCTTGACCCCAGGTCGGAGATACTCGATTTTGAGATGCTAGAAATGCTCTCAACGACATGCTATACTGAGATGCAGTGACAGCAAAAACGGACAAGCACTGCAGCTAACGTTAACTACAGTGCCGTTGATGGTGTACAATTCTGTTCAATTATTCATTCGAACTACTCTACTGACCAATCCATTCCTACATGGGTAGGAATTTCGGATCAATGTCGGAATTCTAACACAGTGTAGAATTTCGATCTCAAGCAGCAGTTGCATCTATTCTTTTCTAGATATACAAAAATCTTGAATATGTAGTGTGCGGGATAGAGGCGACAGTGGAGCCCAAGTAGCAACACTAAACAACATAGAACCGGTACATCTTGATTTTCTACGAAGTTTCCTTGACGAATTTTCATGGAGTCAAAGCAGGCAGTAGAGTAATATTCATATTACTCTTCCAGTGTCGAACATTTCCAGAGGTTGAAATGAGCTACAAAGCCTCACAATGTATAAAGAGCGGGTTGACTCCAGTCGTGACCTCGTTCGAAGATGGGAAGAAAGCATGTTTTCAAAAAAGAAGTAGGTGATATAGAAACACTAGAAACAGCGAAACACGTAAATCATGTTTCGCTGTTTTTAGCAATGTCGTCTGTGGGTTCTAACTCAATCTTAACCTCAAATACTTAGACGATCATCAAATGCGAATCGAATTATAGTCGAGTGCAGTAGCTGGGAGTGCTAAGCCTAATGCATGGTGGTTTGTTCAGGGTTCTTTCTGTACAGGGATCAGGATTGTCAGAGTTCTTTACGCGACAGTAGATCACCGCTTTTATCCTACCGAAGAGTCTAACAGCAATTAAACGACCCCGCACAGTTGGACCATGCGCGTGTGTTAACGCTTCACTTGCCACTTCACCGCTTCCGGCCATTGTGGACAGAACTGGTGAAGAGGCGAGTGGCGCATTAACACACCCATATGATTGCTCAGAAAAATATTTCTCAAAATAATTCTGAATCTTCAATATAGAATACTTGGGATACTTTTGAGTTCTATAGACAGCGGTACAAGTCAGGGAGTTATCAGCCAAAGTTTGACTATCGAAGTTTTCTCGAATTGGTCAGTTTCACAAACTATCCGGGCCAGCCTGCTTACTGATGTAAGCCTGGTGTCTTCTTGCAGCGCAAAACATATTGGCTATCGCTAATAATTTATCACTTGGGTAAGTCTAAAAGTTCCCCGAGAAAACTTAGAACCAACATGAATAGTTATGAACGATGCACAGCAAAGACTTAAGACGCTCTTTTGATTTTATAGGTCCTCTCAGGGATGAGGCCACAAAAAGGATGACGAGTAAACACTATCAACAGTACACGTTCGGCGCATGAATGCTTCTATAGAAATACAGAAGGACTTTAGTCAAGAAGAAAATGCTGTGCAAAGTTGAATAAGCAAGTGGGATAAGTTTTAAAAGAAGACATCTAAGAGGAAGACCGTTTGGAAGGGCCAACAACACCAAAACTCAGGCAACTTTCCTTGATTTATGATACAATACCCAACCCAATTATTCAACAAAAAAACAAGAAAAACACAGGTTCGCGTCTTTTCGGTCTTTTCTTAATAACTATGTTAGTTCTCACTTTTACCATATACAATGTTGCATAGTTTGACTCAGCTCGACGACATCTATTAAGTGGTGGCTTCAAATCGAAAAAGTTTAATACACAAATTCTCGATTCACCGAAGTTCCTGAGTGCACGTCATTAGTCACGACACTCGCTATTGTTGTAACCGGGAGGCATTTTACATTAAAATTGCTCAGTAAGCTGTGGAGCAGCTATCATACTCTGAAATTGAACAAATGTTAAATTTTCGCCTTCTTCATGCTTTACTGTTCATTTTGATATCACTTTTTTCCGAAATGGACGAATTTAGTCGTGCGCCAATCTTGAACGTTAGCGGTACTTTAAACTGAAAAATAGCAAAAAAGAGTTAATCCATGTTGTCAGCAAATGGTGTGCCTGTACTTCAGAAGCTGCACTTCCCTACAGTTTGCAAATGGTAAGCCTCCTAGCTTGCTTCAAGTTTGTTCGTGCCCCATTTTCATGTAAATTCACATCGACGTCCGAATTTCGTCTTTTAAGGCACCTTATGCACTCAAGTTGCGCAGCTGGCGACATTTTTAGACAATTCCAAGTGATAACATACAACGAAGGCAGAAAAGTGGTCAACCTTGGAGAATCGCTGCTCATGAAGTTGCCTCAGTTGAAGTTGAGCTCACGCTATTACCGCTGAAACGTTCGAGTCTGAGCAAAAACGAAGAATAAGGATAGAACTGCATGCCGCGTTGTCGTTATAAAAATCCTTGTTTGTGGTGATTCGAAGGTTCCGGAACAATCCAAGACTCAGGCTGGATGGCATTCTCATCGCAGAAGCATTCTTGAGATTGTGAAACACTCACACTTTTTGATTCATAAAGAACTAGGAATTCTGCTTGACTGCTTTGTCTGCTTTATGCAATTGAAGGACACTGCCTTTTGAGGGAAATGTCTCAGTGAAGAACACCCTGCGAAACGACACCATTTTGCGTTTTGAGCTCGATATTGTGAAGCTTCTTTGTTTTTCTGACCATCGAGAGGCGGAAGCGGTAAACTGTGACGTCCGCACATCTTGTAGGATTCCTTGTCTTGTGCTTTTCCGTATGGAGGTCATTCCATAATGCACAGTGACAGGTGGTTTTTCTACAGCTCCTTTTCCTTGTGTGGTAGGCCCAAGAACAATATTCTCTGTAGACCGATGAGAATTCGTAAGGATTTTATTGAAGCTGTTAGCAGTTCGTAGTAGTGATCCAATCCCACGAAGATATGTGGTTTCTGCTGCTTTTCACTGAGCTTTCAACTAGCCCAGCTAAACCATCTTGTCTTCGAAAATGAAACATCTTCAGCGCTGAGGTTTTTGCGCTAGGGAAACCGCTGGTAACCACTGGTTCTGCGCGTGGATTCTGGTTGAGTCCTCACCATAAGCTGCGCCCAGTTTGACGCTTACGTTGCAGCTTCTAAACAGTTCAATATGGCCTGCTATTTCTGACATCGTTTCCGTGGTTTCCTTCGGCGCGTCTAAACTGTCTGCTAGTGATTCCTCAATAACAATTTTGAGCGCCGGTGTCGAAGAAGGAGAGGGCACTTTCGTATCCGCCTTTCTTGTGGTCTTAAACATTTGCGATAACTGAGACTAATATTAGGGAGCTGGCCTCTAAGTCGAGGTCAAGCAAAAGTTTTCAGATCACATCCGTACATTATTTGTAGTCACGCCTCTTTCGTCGCTTGTAGTTGAAAAGCTTTCTTGTTCACGCCATGACTGGCCTGATCTTTGATTGCTATTTACGGCATTGAATCTTTTATTATTGCCCAAATAACTTGACTTATAATTGTCTCATTCTTTTTTGAAACAGAGAGTCATGTGATGCTTTTGTCCGCATCTGGGGCAGCCTGCTTTTTGGAGGTCAAAAATGCTGTGATTGGAGGTGCAACATTTGTAACATCTGCGGCCCTCGGTTAATATTTTTCTGCGATTGCCTTGGTCAGTGACTGCTGTGCAAGTCATCAAGGACTGATTTCTTTTTTGGCAGGACAGACAATGGTCATTGGAGTGCGGATGTGGACCGGCCTGCTTATCTCCTGAAGTGGTCGCCTTCATGATATTCTTATGAGCTACTCTGTTCTACACGTATCCTTTGGCAGCAACTTCTTTCTTCAACTGGCCTATCAGACTGTCGACTGCTTGCCTGTCTTGCGCAGGATTTGATATGAAGATAGGTTCGAGTGTGTCAAGGGGAAATTCGCTTGAGATGGTTTCGGACCACATTGGATCCCGCGCTTTCCCTCGACGTGACCGGAGAATGCCATCTGATTAATCAGTATTCGAATCTGATCGACAATAGCGGAGCAGCTACCCACAAAGCTATTTGCTGGCTTCATATTGACTGGTTTTTGCATAACCTACGGTGTATTTGTGACTTGGTTGCAATGGTTTTCTTTTAAAGTTCGGATAATTCGCTCAAA